GTAACGCATAACTGGAGCTGTCGTCATGGTCCTTCTGATGTTCAGAAATTTCCCATGATTGCTCCAAGAAGGCAAACACTTGGGAACCACACTACAGGAAATGAAGGGTTTCATCTGAATGGCCACTGGCCACGCAGACCACAGTGTCATAAAATGTCTTACCGGGATGGTATCTCCTGCTCCAGCATCGTCCCTTCCTGAGGGAAGTTTGGTTCATTCTAGAGAAGAAATTGGGGACTGGGGATTTAGGAGAGATATTCTCTGTGTTTATGAAAAGCATTAGTAGCAACAAATGACTCCTGACAGAAGACCTTAGGTTACTACTTCAGGGATGCTATTGTTTTCAAGAGGAATCAGAAAAAAAATCTTTAATGTGTGAATCTTATATGTTGAGAAACGAAAGAAAAATTAATGATGCTGGACTCTGGGCGCCTTAAATATACTTCTGTGGGATAATGAAGATGAATTTCCATTTTAATTTTTTAAATAAAAATAAAGGAGACAAACAAACACCATGCACTTTTTCCCCCTGCTGACGAGCATCATTGCCTTGCCCAGAATTTGGAATTTGGAAAACTAAGGGCTGACTGCATTTGAATTCTGACCTCATTTTTATGCTTCCTGTCATATTCTTTCTAAATACAGAGGACGTTTTTCTTCTGCCTCCCACTATTGTTCAAATCCCCAGTGCTTTTCACCAGGAACTTCATGATTTGAACCCTTGGTTATGTCTACATTTCTACATTTGCAGAAACGTGCAAACGTACACATATGTTGTATTTTCCTCTGATTTGGTCTTGAGGTCCCTGTCTGGAGAGTGGCTTTAAATCTCAGTCTGCCATAATGGGGCTCCAGGAGATTTGGTCACGGGTGTTTACAATGTGACTTTTTTATCCTGGCGGAAGGCCTAATGCCTAGGTGTCCTTCTCACAGAAACTTGTTTATACTGGCAGGAGCTTTTGTGGCTCTTGTCTGCCCTGTGTCCAGTTTACTCCCATCAAAATCACTACTCCCTAGACGAGCCCTGACCAGGAAAGAAATCGGGTTCAGGTGTGTCAGCCAGGTGAGACACAGAATAGGCAGCACAACCAGAACTTAGGAAATACCAGATCCTGGAGAGAAGAGGGCATAGGCCTCATGGAGCCCAGAGGAAAGGGGAGCCACCCAAAACATGCCTGCTCAACCTGCAGGTGAGGAGCAAAGAGAGACAGAGAGAGGGCAGGGGAACACCTGGGGGTGGAAGGCTTTATTGGGGTCTAGGATGTTACCTAAGCAGGCTTCCTGAGGGAAGTTCTAATGGTAGGCTTAGAGCAGGTATGCACAAGTTCTAGGTGGTCACACTATGACTGAGAGATGATCACTGAGGCATATCCACACAGTCCACATGGAGTGTAGAGGTCAGTGGACAGTCCTCCCATAGGCTGTATCTATCTGGTACCATATTCACACCCTACAAGAGAGCCATATGGAAATTATTTCAGGACTAAATATGGTCTAGGCTTCCAATAGACTCTGGGCCTTTGCCATGTTCCATTTTCTTAAAATACCATTTCACACAGTCTTTGTTTGGCTAACTTCCACTGATGCTCAGCCTAGTGGCCACTTTCTTAGAAAAATTCCTGATTGACTCTGCCAGTGATGATTAAGTCTTTTCATATGTTCCTCATGGAAACCCTCGCCTTTCAGAACACTTATTTCACCGTCGTTTTGGCCGATCCTGTTTTCTAAAGATGCCCATAGTTGTATCACCCACCCCACATACTCCTACCTTGCCTCTCCTTCATCAAGAGTTGGAGACAGACGTTGGAGGTCTCTTGTTCTACTCCTTTGGAGTCTAGACTGGTCTTTACTAACCCACAGAATGGGGTGCGCCCAGTGGTCTACGATTTCCAAGGCAGGATCAGAGAAAGACATGCAGCTCTTTCCTGCTTCTGTTGAAATGCTGGCTCTGACCAAAGCCAGTTACCTTTTTAGAATTCTAGTTACCTAAGGCTGTCATGGTGGACACATGCTGCAGGTGTTCCCAGCAACACCTCTGAAGGGCTCCCAGAAAACAGCCTGAAGAATTCAGCCAAGTGAATGGGGACATCTCCAGATAATCCCAGGTCCCTGCCATCAAGACACAACCAGGCCTTGAGTCTCCCAGATGAGCCCCAGACATTATGGAACCCTGTGTCCTGTGCAGGTCCTAAGATTCAGAGTCATGAGCATAGTATACATGGTTGGTTCAAGTTGCTAAGTTTGGGGATAATTTGTTACCCAGCACCAGGAACTGAAGTATTATTAGACAGTTGGATGTTTTACTAACCTAGGTGATAAGATCCCAAACTGTATAGCATAACAGCAGGGACTGTTTGCCATTAAAACTTTAGCAAACAGCCACATGCCCATTATGTAATAGAAATATAATAAATAATCTTAACTGAATGAATAGGCGAATGAGTGGATGGCTGCTTTCCCCCTTTAGCATTGCATTTATCTACCTCTTCCTTCAGCTTAAGTTTGGTGACTTGGTCCCAGAGAGTTTGAGTGTGTCCAGGATATTGTTTTCTTGTCCCTAAGTGTCTACACAATTAATTCCTCCTGTTTTCTCTTGACCATTCCTTGCCCCAACGAAGTGACCAAGAGAAAGATCTGGTGTCATTTGGAACTTAGAAAACCCATCTGGTGCAGCTGCTGGAGTGGGACAGCAGGGGACTGGAGTGGTGGAGAGGGGTTGCTGTGGTTTAGATGGCAAATGACCCCAACCACCCATGTGTTAAAGGCTTGGTTCTTGGTGGTAAACCTTTAGGAAGTGGGGCCTGGTGGAAGCTCCTCGTGTTATTGGAGGAAAGACCTTAAAGAGGACTGTGGGCTCCCGGGCTCATTCTTTCTCTCCTTCTGTTTTGATATGTCACCACTGAATGTCATCACTGGCTTTCTTTCCACACATGCAGCTGCGTTGCCATCCATGTCATGAGGTGACACAGATGAGGAGTGGCAATCCGACATGTGCCATGTCATTTGGACTTCAAGCCTCCAAAACTGTGAGCTAAACACTTTTTTCTTTACAAAGTTAGTTTCCTTGAGTATTCCATTATAGTCACACATACCTGACTTCACCAGGATGCAGAACTATTCACGAGAAAGGTTCTGCCTCTCTCTTTCTGCGTATCCCCTGTTATAGTTTGGGTCTTTAATGTCCCCTGAAAAGTTTATGTGTTAGGCAAGGCAGCAATGTTCACAGGTGAAAAGATTGAATAATAAGAGCTGTAATCTCATCAGTGGGTTAATCCATTTGATGGATTAATAATTTGGATGGACTACTGGATGGTAACTCTAGGCAGGTGGGCATGGTTGGAGGAAGTAGGTCACTGTGGGGGAGGGGGTGTCTTGGAGACTATATCTTGTTGCTGTTCACGGACTCTCTGTCCTTCCCATGAACTGAAAACTTTCCTCCACATGATGAAGACTTCTAAACCATAAGCCCCAATAAATCCTGTCTCTCAGTTGCTCTTGTCAGGTATTTTGTTCAGAGCAATGAGAACCGACAAGCCCCCCCACCCACCAAATACACACACAAACTCCAGGACAGAGAACTTGAGAAGACCACAGAGACCACAGTCACACACACAAAGCATCGTGAACTCCATTCTCAAGGAGTGTCAGCTGGAGGGGCGGGGGAATGACAGTGAGGAGGGGCAATTCAGGTGCTGTGTTGTATGAGGTGATATTGCTGACTTTAAAAGTCTACACCATTTCCCCCTCTACCTCAAACCATTTTCCTTCCTTTACCTACATACATGCGTGTGTGTGTGTGCATGTGTGTGTGTGTGTGTGTGTGCGTGCACACACATAGCCCAGAGGAAGCCTCATTAGTGTCTTAATCACACCTGGTTCCATGCAGAATGCTAGAGGAATTACCCTAGTTACAGAGACAGAATAGGAATGAGAGTAAAAAATAAGAGGAGATGGGGGAAGAGTTATCTTTTATTTGGTGTTTGCTGAATGTTATGAATTATGATAAGAATTTTTTTCCAGAATCTCATTTACTCTAAAACAGAAGCAATGCACAAGATACATATAGTGTCCAATTTATAGATGAGGAAACCAATGCTTAAAGAATTTAAGTAATGGCTGGGAGAGGAGGTGTATACCTGTAATCCCAGCAACTCAGGAGGCTGAGGCAGGAGGATCGTAAGTTCAAAGCCAGCCTCAGCAATTTAGCAAGGTCCTAAGCAACTTAGTGAGACCTTGATTCAATAAAACATAAAAAACATCTGGGGATATAGCTCAGAGGCTAAGCACCCCTGGGTTCAATCCCAGGTATCAAAACAAAAAACAAAAAAAAAATTTAAGTATCTTGCTCAAGATCACATAATATACATTAGGACCAGAATTTTTAGACAGGTCTGGCTGCCTCTAAATTCCATATTCTTTAATATTCAAGTAGGCTCTGTTGGGTTTTGTTATCACCTATAAGTATCCAAATAGCCCAAAGAGATAAGTATTCAAACAGGTCTCTGACCTGGAGGGGTCACATTGGTTCTGATGTGATCAGAATTGAGCCCCCTACCTGAATTGGACCTCTCTCTCTCTCTCTCTCTCTCTCTCTCTTCCTCCCTCCCTCCCTCCCTCCTTGGAGGCCTACACACAGCAGGATCTCCTAACGACCTGGTGTCCAATGCTCCGGCCATTCCTTGAGGTTCAAGAATTCAGGCCAAGAGATTCCAACACAGTGCCTTGCACCATGGAAGAGATGGTGGAATCCTCCAGTTGATGGCTTTTAGCCATACATTGCTTCACGCCCAAGAATGCACTTGTTTATGGCAAAAGGAAAGTGACTTCCTAAGACCCATTCTGGTCAACCACATGCGTCTCACCCATCGTAGCAGCCACTGATTTGAGTTGGTTTTGTTAACCTCCCATGACACGGTGTGTACATAAGCTCTGTTTGCTAAGACAACACAGAGCCAGGGATTTCTTCAGTGTTTACAGTAAGTGATAAGAAAATGAAGTACCACAATCAAGTGCTCAGGCTCTCAACTCAGCTCCTCTCAGGTTACCAGGAATTCTCAGTGGCATTTCGTAGCTTCAGGAGTATGCATTCTTGAAATAAGCCTTGGCCTGCTGGAAACACAACCAAGGCTCTGTAACTGCCACATTCCAGAACTGTAAAGCAAAGATTGACACCCCTCCACCCCTAACACGACTCCTTTGAATTGGTTTTTCTTTATTTTTCCAATCCAGCAACTATTTCCTGACCATCTGCTATTGCAGGGCACCCTACTTGGCCACTTGGCCCTGTAGAGGACACCAAGAAGTAGGAAACATGGCCACTGCCTTTAGAATATTACAGATGGGCAAAAATCAGTAGTCAATCCGCAGGGTCCCCCATGGGAGGATTAGCTGGACCCTAGGACACTCCCAAGAGGAGTCTATTCCAACAGGCAGTTATGTACTTGATTTTGATTGTCGTTTTACTCTGATGGCTTAGTTCAGTATGACCTTTGGATCTTCACTGTATAAACTACAGTGCAGATATAATTGGCCCTATATCCCAACTTTAACTAGCCTATAATACCTAGTGATTACAGAAAAGTTACATATTTCAACAGATTGCTTTCTCATTTACAGATCTTGGATCGGTCAGAACATAATTGCTCATAACATACGCAGGCCGGTTTTTAGTTCTCAAAGTCAGAATATATGGTCTAATATGTAATTATGATAAATGATAACTTACATATAAGTTACTGTGCTACTATAAAATGGTACTTGGACCCTTCAGTTTTAATATACATTATGTGGTTGTCCATCTCACTGGGGGAAAAAAAGCCACCAACTTTCTTTCTAAAACTTCTGCTCTTTAGGATATGATGTTCACTGAGAGCTGCTTGACTAAGCAGCAGAACTCAATTTCAGGCTGGAAAATTCAGACTCCTCAGTGGTGATCTTTTACATTTTCTCCAAAAGAGAAAAAGGAGACATGGCAGGAAGAAATGAATAAATAAACGAACCAAAACATGAGCTCCCATGAAAAGACAGAGGAGGGCATTAAAGAAAGAAGAGAAAAGGAATGAACAGGAAAAAGACTGACTGCTAAGGAAAAGAAAAAAATCTGACCAGTAGTCTGATTTAGTATAATCCATCGTGTCTTTGCTGGCATACCCAAAATAGGATATTCCACTTAGTTCCAAGCAAATGACTCCAAACACCAAAAGCAACGAGTGACTCAGAACATCAGTTGAATGGGCTCTCACACCAGATCCAAGTTATTAATAGAGTTGTTTCCTTTTCTGCTAATAATAGGTCAGAATATACAATGATGTTCCCCAGGGCCCCCCCCCAAATATATTTAGAAATAGAGTGGATTCTATTTTAATATGGTACTTACTCTGCTCTTATGATTATTTGTCATAGTTAAGTACAAAGAGCATTACAAAAGCACTCGCAAATCTGTCGAATCATGATGTTTAAAAGCAACGAGGTCTAATTGTGGTGTGATACAGAAGGAGTCAGGCAGTAAACCTGCTAAGGAGGATGGTGCATCTCATGGTCTTCTCTTAGTACTTTTCTAGTCCTTAAGAATTCATTGTCAACACGCCCCTCTGTGGTCCCCTGTATAGTGGTGGTCACACCTTGTTAGATTCAACTTTATTGGATCTGTTCTTTATTTCTCTACCAATGCCTTTCTCACTTGACTTTGCCTGTAGTCCTTCACCACATAAAAATACCAGAACTAATAAGATGATTGGATGAAAAATGCAGAATAATAACCATGTAATATGTAATGTGCCACAAATGTGGCGTACGCATATTATGTATTATGGCAAAACCTTAGTAATTGCCTGTCTGGTTTGATTTTCGGCTGAGTAAAGGGAAAAATTCTGAGGCTGTACTATCTTTTCCTCTATTTTATTATTATTATTATTATTACAAATATCCTTATTGGTCAGGGAACCACATAAATCCATCACTCCAGATTTATAGTTTGCAGAATTTCTGGAATTGGAAACTAACCTAAGGTGAAGCATTTACCCCAACTCAGCTTTCCATAGTTTTCATACTTTTTTCATCAGAAATGAATTTCAAGTTAACCTTTAGATAATAAGAAACAAGCGTTCCCTATGAAATTGTGGGGTAGCTAAACCCCAGGGTAGGGAGCCGTGTGACTCAGGGTGAGGACATGGTGTTCTCAATCATCCCATTAGCAGATGACTTTACACACAAGTGGCCTTCTTGGGTCTCGGAGCTTCGCTGGGGCTTCCCTAACCCAGAGGAGAAGGAGACAATATGATCTGGGGTGGGGAGTAGACGGGGAGGAAATAATGCCTCAGCAAAATTCTGGTATGTTCCTAATTCCTGCCTCCCCAGTTTTCTACCCACTATGACTTCTGTCCCCCGACTGAAGTCTGAGGAGCACTGGATCACATGTCAATCCTCAGACTTCCACAAATTTCTATTGAGGGTGTGCCTCCAGGGCCAGAGGTCACAGCCTGAGCAGCCCACGCCTTTGTCTACGGGTGATTGAGTCCAGTGGAGGAGGGTGTGTTCGTCTTCTAGAGTTGCCACAGTGAAGTGCCACACACTGAGTGGTTTAAACAACAGAGATGTGTTGCGTTACAGGCCTGGAGACTGAACGTCCAAAATCAAGGTATGGGCAGGGTTAGTTCCTTCTGAGGGCTGTAAGGGAGAATTTGTTCCATTCCTCTCCTGGCTTCTAGCAGCTGCCAAATGGCGTTCTCCCTTATCTTCACAGTCTCTTCTCTCTGAACATGTGTGTCTCTATGTCCAAATCTCCCTTTTGTGCAGGGACTCCAGTCATGCAGACTAGGGCCCATTCTCATGATCTTAACTCCATCATCTGAAAAGATCCTACTTCCAAATAAGGTCATGTTCCCAGGCACAGGGGGTCAGAACTTCAATGTCTTATGTTAGGGACACGATGCTTGTTTGTCCAAATGGAGAAATAGTTTGGAGTCTCTGATCCTCCATATTGAACTTCATGGCAGAGAGGATTCTGTGTTTTAAAGGATTGGGTCTGAATAGTTTTGTTTTTGACAGATCTAGTTAGCTCAGGCTGCTATAACAAAATAACCACAGACTGGGTAGTTTAAACAGCATTTATTTATCACAATTTTGGAGCCTGTGGAGTCTTAGATCAAGGTAGTGGCAGATTTGGCTACTGGTGAGGACTCACTTCCTGGTTTGTTCTCTGTGTCCCCAGTGAAAACAAGAGCACTAATCCAACCATGAGGGCTCCACCCCCATGAACTCATCTAGGTCCCACCTCCAAATATCATCATCTTGGTGATTAGAGCTTCAATATGTGAATTTGGGAAGTGGGGAGGAGGGCAGAATCATTCATCCATTGCAGTTTTCATTGTTATTAAGAGGATCAGTGAAAAGCAGCATGCTGAGATCCTTCCCGGACACCCATGGACTAGATCCCTGTAAATCACAAGGCTGCTCCCGTCAGTCAAACCTGTGATCAGTTAACAGGGCCCTAATAATGGCTGGCCACGCAATGTAAGTAACCCATCAAAGACAGTCCTTTATTATTTAGTCATGCAAACAGAGGCACACGGTTCCCCAGCACGGCTGTTAACAGCCACCACTAGACTCTGGAGAACTGTTGGATTTCTTCCCTGCTTTAGTGTGATTCATGGGCTGTGATTGCTCCATCTTTCTGGTCACCCGATGTCATGGAATCCCTCCCGCTACCCCCACAGAAGCCTATGACCTAATGCTAATTTAGGAGAGGAAACCTACCCCTCCTCAGGCTGCCTCTTTTGCCGAGAAGAGAAATCGTCATCCCTTGATGCCTTAAAATGCACATCTGCCCTTCAAATAGGAGCAAAACCTCTAGGGCTGAAAATTTTAATTGAGTCTAAACAAAATCCCTTGGAAATGTAGATCTCATTGGTTCCATAATCATCCATGTATTTTTATAAATAAAACCTGAGTGCTCCTTTAAAATCGAATGGCTATTAGGAAGGAAGTCACTGATGTCACTTGCTTTTCTTTTAAGTCATCAAGAGCCTCCACTGCATGGTTTCTTTAAACCATAGGAAAAGATCAGCTTTATGCACCATTTGTCATCTTTTAGCATAATCCACATTGGTGGGAAGGAGGAGACTGGTTAGAAAAAGAAAAAGACACAGTGTACAAGTAATAAAATCTGTACCAGAGAACAAGGTCCGTACCAAAGTGATGTGGTTGACCACCCGTTGGCTTCTAGGATGGAGATTCCGGACCACTGAGCAACTGTGTTCCCTCTGCTTTGAGTCTGTCTGTCTGTTCTCAACCCCTGGCCTTGTGGTTTGTGGCTGAGCTAACTGCTGGGCCAGCACCAGGCCTCACCAGGGGCTAAAGGTACACACAGCTTAGCTTCCACCCCACCAGAGGGAGAGGAGAGCTGGTATTTCCCAGAGCAGCCTCTGGAATTCAGCACTGTCTCTAAACAGGAAGAAGAGATGTTTACAACTGCTGTCTGCTTTGGGGGCTGGGGTGTTTGGTAAGAGCGGAATTCTAAATTTGATGCAGAAAACAATCACCTGATATTTATAATAAGAACTAAATGTTTTCCTCTTCTTTCCACATGCAACCTTAGTTATTTAGAAAGGTCATTTACTGTTTTGATTCAAACTCTGCATGGAAAAAAATAAAGCATGCCTTCATTATTCAATCCAGGTCAGTTAATTCTATTGAATATCTTCTGGGGGTTACAAAGAACCATTCAAGCTAGTTGGACTCTACAAAGATCCTACAACCAGGCCCAGAAAGTTTATTCATGATGTTTCCTTCATCACTCCATCTCCCACACCTAACAGAGTTTATTTAGGAAACTCTTGGCATTCAACATTTGTCAAATAAGTGATTGAGATCAACATCTCTCAAGAACAGCATCTCACAAGTCCATTCCAAGCCAAGAAGGGACACTCCTGACTTAGGTAAGAAAGAAAGAAGCTGCAAGTTTTTTCTTCTTTTTTCTTTTTGTACCAGGGATTGAACCCAGGGGCACTCAACCACTGAGCCACACCCCCAGCCCTTTTTATTTTTTATTTTGAGACAAGCTTTCCCTAAGTTGTTTAGGGCCTCGATAAGTTGCAGAGGCTGGCTT